TACGGCAACTCATATAAGCCCTTTTCACTGCAATCTTGTTTTTTTTGGTCAAAGAGAAAAAAAGAGTTACCTCCCCCACTGCCTGTAGGCACCAAAGTCTTCTCACAGTTTAACTTATTTTATGGAACTTATCAGGTTGTTTTCTCCTGACTAGAGACTTCCTTGTGTTGTATCTACTCTCAGATGTACGTTGCTTCGGATAAAAGCGTCTACTAAATGAAATTGCAGAACTGTACAGTTGTAGAACCATGGCCTCGGACTAAGAGGTGTGACAGTTGCTTTACACTCGGCTGTAGCGTATGGAATGTCAAATTCTGATAAATCCAACCGTGCCATATTGTCCACTAATAGCAGAGATGAGATCCTGAGGTGCCCAAACCCCAGCTGCGCCTTGAGATCCAGTCCATACACCACAATCAGGATTGGAGACAAAAGACAGCTTTGGTCTGGTCCAACACCCAGAGGAAACGCAGTGGACTTTGTGCTGAGAATGTGAACAAAGCTCTAATTTTGGATGCATGAGTTTTTGAACATTTCGTAACAATAACCCTGTTACTCCATACTCCCACAGTACACCCCACAAAGCCTCTTGAGGGACATGGTCATAAGCCTTTTCCAAAATCCAAAAAACACATGTGGATGCTGGCTGGTCAAACTCACATGACCTTCCCAGCAGCTCTGTAAGGGTAAAGAGCTGTTCTGCTGTTAAACTGAATAGCGTGGTACCCCGATAGCTGGTGCACAACCTCTGGTCCCTCTTTTTTAAAATTGCAACCACCCCTCGGTCTGCCACTCTACAAGTATGGTCCCCAATAACCATGGGACACTGAAGACACGTGTCAGCCAAGACAGTCCAACAATGTCCACAGAAGTGAATCTTGTCCATACCTGTTGCCTTGCCACCGAGGAGTTTCTTAGCTACATTGGTGACCTCTACCATGGATTTGGGTGAAGCTTCTCCCAGTCCTTCAGGCTTTGCCTCCTCACCAAAGGACATGTTACTTAAGGAGTTCCTCAAAGTGCTCTTTTTGGTGGTAAGACAGGATTTAAGGTATGCGAGAACCAGCTGCTCAAAGCACTTGGTAATCATGGGGTAAGCCCTACTTGGTGGTAGTCGTTGAGGCAGGTTGGAGTGGATTGTTTTGATACTGGCACGATGGAGGTGGTCTTGAAGCAGGTTGGCACTAAAGCTTAGGCTAAGGACAGGTTTAATAAGTTCATCAGCACCTCTGCAGGCTTCCCAGCACATGCTCTGAGCACATGTCCAGGGCTGCCATCGGGTCCTGCAGCTTTATGTGCGTTGATCCTGTTCAGCACTGCTCTGACATCATTGGGGGAGAGTGTTAGGGGTTGGTGATCAGCAGTCAGCTCTGCCCTGGTTGCAGGCTCGTGGTTGTCCTTCTCGATGCAAGCGTAGAAGTCATTGAGCTCATTGAGAAAGGAAATATCAGAGGATGGGGGGAAGGGTTGATAGGCTTGTAGTCACTGATGACCTTGCCAGATACATTGAAGGTTGGAGCTGGAGGAGTTTTCCTCAACCCTCCTTCTGCAGAGGTGCTTCGCCTTCTTGATGGCCTGTTTCAGGACAGCCCTGGCTGTACTGTAGGCTTGTGTATCCCATGATCTGAAGGTGGTGTTGCAGGCCTTCAGCAGGATGCGGACATCCCTGCTAATCCAACGGTTTCTGATTTGGGTACATGGTGATCTGTTTGTGGGTGGTGACGCTGTCTATGGTGGTGAAGATGTAGTCCAGTACAGAGGAAATACAGCTCTCAAGGTCTGAGGGAGTGACAGGTTGCACGAGTGGCAAACATATTACAGTCTATGTGTTTGAACCAGTCCTGCAGCACCAAGAATGTCTCCTCTGGCCACACTTTTATGGTCCTCACTTACCCCTTTTCCACCAAGCGGGTCCAGTGCTAGTTTGGAGCCAGAGCTTGACTTAGCACCAGTTCTTTGTGTTTCCACCACCGAAGCATCGGCTCACGGTTCTGTGTCGTTTTTCACCAGGACGTCCCTTGTCCGATCACAGATGTATTGGAATAGTCCCAGGAGACACAGAAGTTTTGCACAAACTGTTGCGCGTTGAAGTCGGATACAATTGTGTCCCACCAGCAGTACCACAGTGGTGGAAAACAGTACTTTTGTAACTTCAGTGTACTGCGGTATTTACGCTTAGAAATGTGGTCTTTTTGTGAAAAATGGAATGCATCTACATGTGCTGTTTTTTCCGCTCATAGAAAAGACCGCACTACAAAAAATTGCTCAGTTTCATCGTGGACAAATGTGACATTAGAACGCCCTAGTTTACTCTTCTTAAAGTCATTTTTTGGTCACACACTGATATAAGCACTGCAGCCACCAACAGCAGCTACCGCAGCCTGCAGTGTGGGGCATTCGGAGAACATCGGTAAATTGTAGTGTCTATCAATAAGAAAATGTCATTTGTTTTGCCTGTGACAAGGTAGGACGTACGACCAAATGAGAAAGTTGGTCGCACCAGTAAAAAAGTTAGTCTGGAGCCCTGTGTGGACTTCCGCACGACGCGAGTGTTGTTCGGTAAACAGCTGCATATGCAGTGACGTGTGGCATGACTCTAACTTGGGTCCTTGCCAATAGTAAGCAATCAGGTTCTTAGGAGGTCCGAGATTTGAACCAACTAAGCACTGGCACTAGCACCTGCCACGAACTAGTACCTGGTTCTTCTTGGTGGAAAAGGGGCAACTGTGGGCTTCACACGCTGGATGAGTGGAGAGTGCTTCACTAACTAACAAAGAACGGTAGTCTGTATACAGCACTAATGACAACTTATGTGACTCCACATTAGGTGAGCAGTGTCTTTTGGTGATAGCAGAGTGTGGGCACCAAGCTTTGTTTATACAAATATACAAACCTCCACCTCTGGTTTTACCGGAGCCCTCCGCAGATCTTTCTGCACGGTAAGTGTGGCATCCTGCTAACTTGATAGCCCTGTCCAGAAAACTGCTGTTTAACCATGTTTCTGTCAAAATCATGACATCAGAGTCCATAATCTGTTTACTGTTGATGATGCAGAGTTGTAGTACATCGATTTTGTTTGCCAGACACTGCACATTAGTGAGGAAAAGGCTGCCTAACGGTAGCCAGTGAGATGTTAGCTTCAGCTTAGCTCATAGCCCTCCATGTTTACCCCACCTTTGTTTATGGTCTCGACACCATCTGCGAGGAAGAGTGCAGGAAGAGTGTGCAGCCTCTGGTGTTCTAGAAATCTCTAGTATGAGTCCAAGATTGGCGACAAAACTGTCCGAGTTGTGTAGTCCAACGTCCCAGAGCTTCTGCCTGTTGTAGGAAGTTAAGGCAGTGCTGTGCTGAATGAACAGTACAGTAAGGAGCAGATAAAACACTGCTAATTTGCAAAGTCTGGAGATGCATGAGCCTCGTATCGTTTACGTGCCGCCATCTAGTAGGATAAGTTCCTGAAATCACATTCATACATATGTAGATTGTTAGCAATAAGCAACACATTAATATTAAAGGGGAACTCCAGAGTGAGACGTGTTCTTTTTGTTGTTTTTTTTTTTAAACCCTAAAGGGATCATGCATTTTTGTTCTTTTGTAGATGACCTCTCGGTCTTCTGGAAATATGACAAAATCTGCTGAGTCAAAAATATACACACAGGGATGCAACTGTGAGGCTGCAAGGTGGATGGTGGCTAGCACTGTTGCCTCGCAGCAACAAGGTCGCTGTTTCGCATCTCAGTGGGGACACCCAGGATCTTTCTGCGTGGAGTTTGCATGTTCTCCCCGTGCAGCGTGGGTTCTCTCCGGGTTCTCCGGCTTCCTCCCTCACAGTCCAAAAAACATGTTGAGGGTAATTGATGATTGTAAATTGTCCGTAGGTGTGAATGTGAGTGTGCTTGGTTGTCTGTCTCTAAGTGTAACCCTGTGATAGACTGGTGACCTGTCCAGGGTGTCCCCTACCTTCACCCTAAGTCAGCTGGAGTAGACTCCAGCCCCCCCGTGACCCTAGTGAGATAGATAATGGATGGATGGATGCAAATGTTTGGTTAAATGTCCCTTGCCCATTTTCACCTTAATTAAGGGGTTTGGAAGGCATTCACAAGCTAATGGAAACTTGTTGTTGTGTCTTTGATTACTCCTTTTGACAGAATCTCTGCAGTAAAACTGAAATGTGGCTTTCTGACACTGACTTATTTCTTCAGAACAGTCCACAGCGTCTTGATGGGTTTAAGTCAGAACTTTGAGGAGGCAGTTCAAAACCTTAATTCTGGCCTGATTTAACAATTTCTTTACCTCGTGTGATGTGTGTTTGAGTATATTATCTTGTTGGAACACCTGGCTGCATCAAAACCTTCTGGTTAGGGATTTTACATTTACTTGAAGAATATGAATGTAATCCTTCTGTTTCACTATTACATTTTCTTTGTATAGCCCCACAGCATCATACTGCCACCACCATGCTTGATGGTCGGTTTTATGTTTTGGGGTTTAAAGGCCTCACCTTCTCATCTGCAAACATATTGCTGGTCATTGTGACCAAATAGGTTATTCTTTGTTACATCTGACCAAAGCACTTTCCTCCAGAAAGTCCTTTCTTTGTCCATGTGATCAGCAGCAAACTTCAGTTGAGTTTTAAGGTGCTATTTCTGGAGGAAGGGCTTCCTTCCTGCACATCAGAAAGGAACCCAACAGTGATACAAAACACACTTGACACACTTTTTTGCACTATTTAAACTGGATCAAAGAGTTTCGCCCAACCAAATTATATAACAAATGGCAGGAAGTTTATTTCAGTACAAACTCTGATTCTGTAGACTCCAGATTGTGGACATAGTTTTGAGTGCAATGCTAGTTAAATTGCATTTTCCAGTAATATTACGATAGGATTCTACGTCTTTTCCTGAAATCAGCATTTTCTTTTTACAATCAAATACCAATGAAAACATAATCTGCAGGAGCTTGCATGGTCAACGGGCTAACAACAGCAGTCCACAAAATTGTCAGCTATACAGCAGTTTATTAAACATTTTCCTGTCTTTATCCTCTGTTACAGTCCTCACACTTACTACAGTCAAACTGCATCTTGCTGATGGTAATACTGCGCAAAGCAGTTACAAAATGAAAATATAAACAAATATCAGGACTGTAAGCAAATCTAAAGTATTTCATCAACACATTCACATTTGACATTTAACTTGAGAATACACACTTTCTTCAGTCTTCAACTCCGTCTTCTTTTTCCCTCGTGCAGCTTTCCTTCCAGAGAAATGCAGCGCAGCATAGTTCACATCCTGTCCACCTTCACACTGAACAGAAAATCAAAGGATTATTATAAAATCATACTGTTATATTGAGCAGCTAAGAATCATGAATGAAATAACTATAATTAATGTAGTTTAGTATCATTACTTACAGCATCAAGCACCGGTTGACTCACGATGTCATGTCTTGTTTGTGATGAGCTGAATTCTGTTCCTCATGACGAATGAAAAACAAGAATATTATGTCCTTAACCTGACTCTCTATTGGCATCCACACAGAGTGAACAAGTTTAATTAATTTTTTTTCATTTGATTAAATAAATTAAGAATTATATGATGCTATTTATTTTAAAAGACCTATTAAAGAGGCCAGACTTTTGAAACGTTTTGAGTAAAATCACTGCTGTGTAGAATGTGACTCAATAAACAACTCTTACCTGTGACTTGTTCTCGTGCTGATCTTGGAGTTCGGTAACAGATGAAAACAATATTTACAATCACAGAAATGGCCAAGCAGATTATTACC